CGACCCGTCCGGGCAGCACGGCCCGTCAGTGCAGTCCGGTTCACCTTCAAGCCGAGTAAGGCAATGTTGCAAAATCAGAAACTGGGTCTGCAGCCTAAACTGATTCTCAAGCAGAAGGTCAGCGTGCTCGTGCAGAGCAGTCCAAGCCTCAAGGGTGTCGTCCCTGAAAGATTGCAGTGCTTCGATGAAGTCAGATCTAGCACTATCGACGTCCTTTTTGGCTTCCTGTTAAACATCTTGCCAGGAACAGTAACACCGCTAGTGCAGTGTAGTTAATGTAAAGGAACAGCCGTCACGCACACGCGACGTGCAGGCTCGAGACTACCAGGACACACTCCGCAGTCCAGGAAAAAGTGTCCGCCTTTGTGAGTGAATAGGAAAGCGTCTGTCGTGTGGTCCCAGAACTGTTAAAATCATTTGAAAGATATTTGAACGGTATTCCGTTGGAATCTCATCGAAACATATAAGTAATAAAATCTCGATGGAAATCTCAATCGGAATATATTGCAGGATATAATTCCGCAACTGCTCACCCAAGGATCGCGCATGTTTTTCACACCTCCCTCGCACTGCTCGGATCTTGGACGTCGGGGGTAAATCGATGGATGGCAGAGGCAACACTCTCCGACTCATCCACACCCGAAGGCATCACACCATTTCCCCCCAGGGTAGGGCGGGTGGGCTAAAATTCAAGCTTGATGCCCGACTTCGGATGTAGTCGCTTCACACAATTCCATGCGTGCATGAAAGTGCAAAGCATGTAAATTGAAAAGGTCGAAATACAAATGAAATATCTCAAACTGTGTGACGACAAATTGAAGAAATGTTTTCTCGAGCTACCGCGAGGTGAAACATACAGTTCAGGGTTCGCTACGTGCCTACGCCCCACACAACAGACAGAAGTATCCGCACGCAGACACTAGACGTCTGTCGTGTGGTCCCAGAACTGTTAAAATCATTTGAAAGATATTTGAACGGTATTCCGTTGGAATCTCATCGAAACATATAAGTAATAAAATCTCGATGGAAATCTCAATCGGAATATATTGCAGGATATAATTCCGCAACTGCTCACCCAAGGATCGCGCATGTTTTTCACACCTCCCTCGCACTGCTCGGATCTTGGACGTCGGGGGTAAATCGATGGATGGCAGAGGCAACACTCTCCGACTCATCCACACCCGAAGGCATCACACCATTTCCCCCGTCAACTGTGATGCTGAGCATACACCTTCATCAGATCATCGAGAGCAGCAAAGGAGAAACATGGGTCCTTGATGAATCGCAAGAGCTCATCAGGGAATGACACACCTCCCTGGTCAACTGCACTGAAGGATTCGCATAACTTCTTCGATTCGCCCCTGGAGGGCAGATCGGCCGGGTTCGATTTTGATGGCACCCTGTCGTACCAAGCACCGAACGGAAGAACTGCATCCATCGCATTGATCACTGCCACAATCCTAAACATGGCCTCTGACTGGCTCGATTTTTTTGATGAGTGTGGCCAAGGCGGAGTTGTTGTCCACAAAGACGAAGCCCTTTCGAGCGCATAACCGCTTTCCGAAATGCCATCTAGCGCACAAGACAGCGAAGAGCTCTATCTCGCATATGATCTGCTCCCCAACGGTCAGAAGCCAATGTTGCCGGATGTCTTCAGGGATGCATCCAGACAGTGCGAACCTCTCCTGCGTCTCAAGGTCACATAAGAAGACTCCCCAGAGAGCCTGATCGCCTTCAAGAGAGCCGTCAGTATACACGATCACAGGTTCACGAGGATCGGTCACTCGCAAAGTCCTGGGCTTCATCGCACAGAAGACTGAGCAAAGCATGTCGTTGAGGCGAACAATGGCCTCCGAAGAAAACGTTGCCGGCCTCGCAGCCAACTTCGAATACTCCCTCGCAATAGGCTTCAGAGCGGAGCCCAGGACGAAACCACTGGCGAAGTTCAAGAGTCCATGAAGCGAAGTGGCAAGCTGCTTAACGTTGGAGTCCTGCTTGGTCAGTTGCTGGGCAATCGACTTGATGCGGTCAACTCTGCCTTCTTTGTTTCTAACCTCAAGAGATCCTTGGTGGAGACTGGAGAAGTCGAACTCCGCCCCCAAGGCAACCCACTGGCTCGCGAAATCCACAGCCTTCTTCCCGGTGGTGGCGTGAATCCACCCCAAAGCGTTGAGCAGCCGGGAGAACGAATCCGAAGCGTTAGCGGCCAATGGAACAATCTCGAAGGTCGGGTAATCGTCCACATAGACTGAGGTGACAAGTCCCAGCTTCACCACTGCTACGTGCCACAATGCACGGGAAATCTTGTTGAAGGAGAAAACCGAACCCGACCCACCAAATGGTAGACCTCGGGCCAGGTAAAAGGTCCATTTTGATTCTCGTGATGGCATGGCAATGACAGCGTATTTCAGCGAACATGTAGCCACCGGCACTTGCTTGTAGGCTTTAGAGAGGTCAAGACATCTCCCAACCCAATGCGCATCTCTGCTCTTAGGGTGCCACTCGCCTTCGAGGACCTCACCCGATTGAAGGGAAACACGCACCTTCTCCTTGTCGCTCCAAACCCTCGCGACGAAGAGAGCCATGGAGGCGACGAAATCCAGGTCGTGAAGCTGCAGCAGGGATGTGGACCCGAACGATGCATTGACGCCAGAGTCCCTCAAGTTGTCAATGACACGCGGCTTTCTTGCTTCTCCCTGCAAGAGCAGGAATCTTTGACTTGGAGTCCACTGGCTGGTTCCCAACCTCTCAGTCACTTTCTCCTCGCAATCGAATGGCCCCTCGAGAAAACCCAATCGGCATTCTTCGTCTGTCTCATCATTCAAGACGGTCAGCTCCTCCTGGGACAACTTTTGAGGCGGCTTTGAGAGGAGCTCACGGCGCCTCCAAATGGCCTGCGAGTCAAGCTGCTCGGGAGTGGCCCTCATGGGCTTGGGCCTGGTCGGAAACAAAGGAGAAGGAGCCTCGGCCCCCACAAGAGACACTCCCTCTTCCATGAAGCGGCAAACCTCCTTGTCCGGAAAACCAGTTTCCTCGATCAGCTCTCGAAAGAGCTGAAGACACTTGCCCCCCGTGATGGGGTGGTCTTCGCCAGTCCCAAGCTCGTTTGCCCTCGCCTCAATGCTCGAGAGGGTCTCATGCCTCATCTTCGCAATCTCCTCTGGGCCCTTGGTAGCCAAGTCGAAGATCGCCCTTCTTATGCAATCAGGGACGGTGCTTGCCGACTCAGCGGGATGCTCCAGTTTGGTTGCCAGATCAAAGTGTTCCTGCATCGTGTGATACACTCCCCAAGCCTTACTGGGATTCGAGGAGAAGACTGGTCCTCCAACCTCGCCTTCCCCCGCCAAATTGGAGGGGCAGTCAGAGAGGCCGGGCCAAGCAAAGTGCATGTCACGAAGAACCGCCAGATCCCGGGGCGGAAGATGGTGCCAGTCACGAACCGTGAATGCCACCAAGACTGTGCGTCGACCCTGGGCCGGCATAACCTGATGCGTGAAGCCGGTCTGAAGAAAGCACGGCTCTGCATGAACAGGCAGGGTTTGACCCTTCACACGCACGCCGCCATTGGAAAAGCGGGAGAGCGGAATGATGACGTTGTAGAACTTGTGGTCGTTGTGAGCATCAACATGTTCAGGGCCATAGAAGTCGTCGAAGACGGCCAATGAAGAGTACACGGCACCTGGAGCGAAGTGCTGAACAATAGCCGCGAGAAGGCGGCACACGTGTGGCATAGATCGAGACACACTGTGAAGGCCCACCTGGGAAGAGAAAACGTAGGCACCACAGGTCCATGCCAATCCGTCAGCAGTGGCCCCACGCCGGGAGCGCTGAGAGGGCTCCAAGAGATTGACAAGTTGCAAAACATCATCCTGCGCGCAGGTCTTCTGCTGGAGCAACGACCAAGCAAGCTTCTCGACCGCATGGGCATCAAGAGGAGCGGGAGAGTTCACAGGAGCCGGGCCAGTACACACAGGCCAAGAAGGTGTAGCAGAGCCTCTGGCCGAGGCAGTATCCTTGGGAGGCACCATGTCGGGCAAAGGCTTGGCATCAGGATGGGGCGCCCGGTCGGCCCAAACAATCTGCCGGAACTCAGGGATTAGGGTGGCATGCTTTAGGGTCTGGGCGCCTGCAGCAGCAAGCGTGTCCAATCGAAACTGCCGAGTGGTTTCACGGAACAAAGCCGGACTCACAGCAGCAGATGCCGCCTGTACGACCTTTCGGCAGAAGACACGAGGGTATTGAGCCTCAGAAGAGGTATCGAAGACCCAAGTGCCCATACGCATCTTTTGTCCATAAGGAACATGAGAATGCCTCCCGTCGCAGGGGACCGAAAGAACCTCGAAGACCTTGGGCGTGCATCGAAGGCGTGTGTCCTTGCGGCGAGTTCCGCCGAACATGCAAAGGGAGAGGGACACATCCTGAAGCTCGAAGTACCAATCAGCGAATGCGGGACAAGAATTGTCACGCGCAAATCGGCAGATCAAAGCAGCGAGAGCGGCCCATGTCCATGCCCGCGCAGGGTTCTCGATGGTGATCAATGCGTTGACTTTCCAAGCAGCAAACAATGCCCGCGCGCAAGTGCCATACACAGCGTTGGCAGCCTCGACCCGGAGACGTTCATGAGGCCTAAGATCAGGTAAACCCAAAGGGAACTTGGCCGATCGAAGCGGTCGAGGCTGTGGCACGCCCTGCGCCCGCAACGCAGAGCTGATGGGCAGCTGACGAGCGCGACTTCCAGTGCCACATGGCAGTCCAAAATGGAGCCAAAGGGGCCTGAGCTGATGAATCATATCGTCAATCAAGCGATGCGAAGAAAGTGCGCCCAAATCGATGGGCAAGCACGACACTTTGGGCTCAAAACGGTTTCCATGATGATCAATAGGAAAAACCTGCCATCCTTGAGAGGCGGCAGCATGCGAAAGAGAGGCCGAGCCACAACACAGCTCGACGAAAATTGCAAAGGGAGCGGCGTCAGTAGTAGGCAGGCCTGAGCGGCCTAGTCAAGAGTGACGGCACTCGCAGTACGGCACTCCCTTCTTGAGGCAGTCCTTATGCCAGCAATTGTGCAAGCCGCGGTCGCATCGGGCTTTGGACTGATCAGGGCACTTGCCGTGCTGAAACAACACGCATAAGAACTGGCGAGTCTTGGGCATGCGCGAGACACAGTCCTTAGGCATCTCCTTCAGCAACTGCAGGATCTCGGCACGCTTGGGGTCCACCTGAGCATCATCCCACTTGCGCTTCTGACCGCCTTTGTCGCCACGACCTTTGCCGCGACCACCACGGCCTTTGCCTTCGCGGTCACCTTTGCCATCGGCCTTGCCACCGCGATCGCCCTTGTCGCCTTTGCCTCCACCGGTGGCCTGCGGAAGGTTGGCCAAGCAAACATTGACACGAGTATGGGTCTGCAGGCGCTCGATGAAGACATCCAGGGGGGGTTTGACGCCCCCGATGACCTTAATGGAGCCACGACTTTCCTGAGCAAGAATCTGCCACAGCTCGCGGTCAGCGTTCAGAGCCTGGGCAATGCTGGTGAACTTGTGACCCGGTGGAGGGTCACGAGTCACTGAGTCAAACAAGTAGGTGTGCCACGCCTCCTGGGCAACAAATGACATGAGTCCAATTTGGTCGAAGGCCAGCGCCCGTCGGGTGAAGGCCTCCCGAAGCCGAAGTTCTCCTCGAACGTCGCATTCCAGGTCGGAGTGTCTCTTCGATATCTTCAAGCCACCTTGAGCATCAAGCGTAACTTGTTGAGAAGGTTTGTCGCTGGAAATTTCCAACGCTCTTGATGGGCACTTATGCGGCGGTAGGTAGGTGAGCGTCCCGGAATCGACCATGGATTGGATTTTGTCGATGAGGCTGTGCGCCGGTTCCACCCGTTCGGTGAACACTATCCCGGTTAGCCGAGTCTTTTGATTCTGTAGGCGAGTCAAGCGCTCGGCCAAAGGAAGCTCTCGAGGCGGGTCAAGAGAAGAACGTTCCACCCGTGACTTGAGATCAGACAGGGCAAACGTGTTGGCCTCGAACCACAATCGTCGAAGGTCAGGAAGCTCGCCCGGGGTGAGGTCACGAGACAAGAGCTTCTGTACCGCCTGAATGAGAGGGGTGTCATCGCCACTCTGCGGGCTGACAGCACAGATGTACGCCAGCTTTCCAAAGGTTTTGATCCCTGCGGCCTGAAGCGACTTGACGAAACCATCATCCATACCGATTTCTCGGGCTCTGGCCAAGAACTCGGCTTCCGACTCAAGCAGAGTGGAAGTCATGGCGTCCGTCCGAGGATCAGGCTTGAAGAAAAACGTGTCACTCCAGGCGAAGGCTCACGACGGAGGCAGCAAGCATGGCTAAAACACAGATGCGCTGCATCGATGTTTGCGTCTCTGCTCGACCTTTCCGTGTCTAATCCCCCAGGACTCGCGCCAATCTGCACTGTTCGCAGAAGATATCCTCGCGCGGCTGCTGGGGGTCGAAACTGCACGCATCATAGTTGCTGTTCAAAGGTCTCCCGCATCTCAACAACGAGGCAGGGACCATGACAGCGTGCACAATGGATGAGATCCGATGCCGGACGAAGGTGCCCGTCTCTGGCGGCTCAGGGCGATCAGACATCCCTGGCACCAGGCTGGGGCGCTCATCGATGCCGACGTGGTCTGCAAATGATACATCTGACTGTTCAGAATCATCAAACCTTTTCAGGTCTTCGACCCGACGATCCTCATCGTGGAATCGTTCCACAAGGTTCGCCATCCTTTCAGACCGGGACAGGTCTGGATCAAACCTGTCTGTACGGATTAGGTCAATCAGATGCTGGAGCTTCGACAAGACTGGGGCCATCACGTCTCTCCCGTATGTGATGATCATCCGCTCGTCGGGGGCGGAGTGGTGCCCCAGAATGCGCTTTTCATGCTTATCAAATCGACCGCTCTTTGTGGCCCATGACAACGGAGTGGATTTCAAGGCATGAGTCGTGACTCTGTCGAGGTTCCAAGACTCATCAGCATCGACTGCGAGAATCTCTTGAAGCCACGCACACCCTTCCGCTGAAGTCATGGGCCTATCCAACCACATCTCGGCTTGCTCCGACCACGCTGGCATAAGGATGTTTTTGGCGTCAACTCCTGATCGGGTTCGCGCCGACATCCATGCTGAGGCCCACGGCTCCGAAGAGAAGGTGTGCCCAAGGGCAATGAGGGGCATGAAAGTGGCCCGATCGTCTGCAAGCTTGGCTGTTTTGTGACCCAACATAACAGCCTCCACAAGACACATAGCCCCGTGGCTCTCGATGGTGAGATCGGTAGCCTTGGCCGCATCGGACCATCGGGCAACCGAGAACAAGCAGAACAGTGCGAACCCCGCTATGGTAGCGTGTAAGTCCGATCCCTCGAAGACAATCACCTCCATTCTCATGACAATGGGAACTTTCAGAGGCGGCGCCTGTCTCAATGGAGCCTTCTTGAGATAGCAAGAGTGCGCGGCACCCTCAATTCGCTGCGAAATGATGTCAGGGACAGCGTTGCTGCCGGTCATGTAGTGAAAGAACCTCCATGACGAAATGAATGCAGCAGGCGCCGTGGGAGCACACTCAGCGTCTCGCAGATAACAAACATAGAGGTACAGGTCATTCTCAACAGCATTCAAAGGTCTAGCATGATTGTCCTGGACCTGCCAGCGGGAGAACCTCAAGTAATCACATGACCTCTTGGAAAGAGTACTCGTAGACTTCCTGGCAAAGGCATCCATGAAGGTCATGGCAAGTTGGTGTTCAGGAACAAGCATTCCACTGGTCTCCAACAATGACCGCCCCAGCTTAGAGTCATTGGGATCGTACAGGACGATCTCCTTAATCCGGGCCAGTGCAGCCGAACGAAGCTGGTCCTCCGACCTCGCCATCCTCGTGGCGAAAAGTCGTCTGGCTCTAAAGGGGTTTTCTTTGTACCAAGTTGGATCAGAACCTGAAGACGAAGACACCGCAATCTGAGCAAACATGTCTGATCGCCCAATCGTGGGGAGATGGAATGGGATGGCCACGAGCGGATTCCCGACGCTCCCAAAAATTGATTTGCCAAAACCCGACTCCCAAGGGAGTCTGATCGAAGACTTCCTCTTCTCCTCAAAGAGAGCCTGTGCCACTGCCGGGTGCACAGGTGCGGGATCTTTCCAAGCGGTCCTCCTACACTTGCTCGCACTCGGCTGGCACGGCTCAGCCGAATCGTCGACCCTTGCATCCTGATACCAACGAGCCTCATCTGATGCCACCGGCTCCACATGCGACCATGACTCATCTCTCTCACCCTCTCCAAAATTAGACCCTACACCAAAGTCAGAGTTCCACGGTGAGCTCACATGATCCTTGCGATCGGAGTCGTCCTGATCGAACGGTTCCTCGTCATGGCCAAAGCCCTGTGAAGCATCAGGTCTACCAAACATGGCTGTGCTCGGACAAAACTGCTAATCTGTATCAGTTGCAACAGGCATCAGTCTGAGTCATCGCAACATGTCCCAACATGGAGAGCACAAGGATCAATCGGGACAATCTTATTTTATATCACTGGTTTGCCAGAAGATTCGCGGTCCTTCTTGGCCTCTCCTGTCCCCCGCATGCAGTCAAGAAGACCGCGCAGAGGAGCGAAACGCGGGGAAGGCCTAAACCACAAAGAAGCCAGGGGACCGGGAAACAGAGGGGCATCCGGCACCTAGGGGCGTAACCTAAAGAAGCGCCTCAGACGAATATGAGTAGTGCGCGCGGCCGCCAGCAATGAAGTCCAGGCCTGCATGTCCAAGTACAGGAGGACCCAAGCGAAGCGGTAGCTAGCCGTGAAGGAGACCAGATGTCCTCGCACAATAGCATTCCAGAAAGGCCGACGACAAGCTGCAAAGCGGCGCGCTTGATGCCCGACTTCGGATGTAGTCGCTTCACACAATTCCATGCGTGCATGAAAGTGCAAAGCATGTAAATTGAAAAGGTCGAAACACAAATGAAATATCTCAAACTGTGTGACGACAAATTGAAGAAATGTTTTCTCGAGCTACCGCGAGGTGAAACATACAGTTCAGGGTTCGCTACGTGCCTACGCCCCACACAACAGACAGAAGTATCCGCACGCAAACACTAGACTTAGTGAAGCCCGTTCATTAACATGGTAGCGGAGCTGCCTCCAGGAACCTCCTTGGCAGCGATGATGCTACTCGTAGCAATAGGAACAATGATGCTCGTCGCCATGGCAATTTGCCTCGTTGCTGGATGGAAGCAAATGCGCGCAAGTGAGCAAGTGACCAAGAAGACAGAGACAGTGTTGACTATGCCCACGCTCAGGATCGCAGTCCGTTCAGGAACCAAGTACCACCGCAGAGGTTGTGGACACCTTCGGAACCACAACGTGACAGCAGGAAACGCTCGAGACTTCGACGCGTGCTCAGACTGCTACCCCGACAGAGTGCTGGTGGAAGAGAAGGAGTACAGGAATGTGAAGTGCTACGGTCTGGCAGCATGTGTTGTGCTGCTGGTTGGTTTTGCCCTGGGAAGCCTCGCAACTTTGTGCGGGATGACCATGGTCCCAGGAGGAACAAGAGTGGTTGTCCCAAAGCTTGAACCAAAAGGCAGCGGACTTTAGGGAACAGGCAGGGGCACTTAGGGAAAACTCCACCAAAAGTTTTAGGAGCAAAGATCCTTGAAGCCACTCAAACTGACGTGACCGCATGCAACAGCTCGGACAGATGCCTTCTTTTTACAAAGGCGTGTGTTGGGTCTCTCTTGTCTTGGATTCCGCTCGACTCAGCCTACCGGCCAGAAGAAGAAGGCACCAGGTGGTGCTTACGACCATCACCTTTCGGTGAGCACCAGTGTCCCCTCTGCTGTGAGGAGCAAATCATGCCAGTGACACTTAGGAGAATGATTATGGACCGGGAAGAGACACAGGCATCCGGTCATTAGGGCGGAGAGGGTGGGCACCAAAATTTTTCTCGCGCCAGAATGGCCGCGACGGCACAAGGAGCTTCAGCAATCTCCAAAAAGGAATGTCGCATCAACCGAGACAATGCAAGTGCAGTTCAAGAGAACCAAGCATGTGAACTTTCAAGAGAAAATCAAGTGCACGGCGTTTTTCCCCCAGCCACCCGCCCAGGTTCAAGCAGAGGGACAAACGAGTTGGGGGAACCCAAAATGCTTGTCCCAAAGCTTGAACCAAAAGGCAGCGGACTTTAGGGAACAGGCAGGGGCACTTAGGGAAAACTCCACCAAAAGTTTTAGGAGCAAAGATCCTTGAAGCCACTCAAACTGACGTGACCGCATGCAACAGCTCGGACAGATGCCTTCTTTTTACAAAGGCGTGTGTTGGGTCTCTCTTGTCTTGGATTCCGCTCGACTCAGCCTACCGGCCAGAAGAAGAAGGCACCAGGTGGTGCTTACGACCATCACCTTTCGGTGAGCACCAGTGTCCCCTCCTTTAGGGGTGCTCGCCAGGGGGTGCCAAGGTTTCACCAAGATGTCTTCTCAAGAAGCTTCTGTCTCTTACTCGCTTTAGGCTCACTCCTTTTGTGCAGCAAGCGGGCTGCCTTGTCAGCAAGGAATGAACTGTGACTGGCCTGGCGCTCTGAGAAGATGTCCAGAGGCAAATCACTGAAAACCAAGGGGACCCTCTTACTAAGATCAAAGTTATCAAACCGCGAGTTCGTAAGATCATCAGCATCTTGATTCTCTTCCCTGGGGCGCCACTCCAACTTGCAAATCCGGTTTGCGCGGCGCAACGTGACAGACACCTGCATGTGGACAGCCTGGACAGGCCACTTGTTGGAGATGCCTCGGGAAGTAATCGCAGGTGTGGCACGGTTGTCCGTGCCAGCACAAACCTGAAGCTTCAATGAATCCCTGCCGCTGGCAACACGCGTATGCCCAAAAGCAACAAGTCCGGCGTATGATGCAAGAAGCTCTGCAGCCGTAGAGGCCCACTCGCAAGACCCGTCTGGCTTGAAGAAAGACGGCAGCTCGGTAGGATGAACTTCAAGCGAGAACCATTTGGCCGACCGAGGATCACTGCCAGACTCGAGTGACCACCCGCCTAAGACAATGCGACCTGATTCACATTTTGCGTCAGTGCGGAAGGCTTGACGGTACTGGCCGGGCCAAGACATGTGGACAGAGTCCAACCGCGCTCCCGCCACAAACTGGCTCCGAAAGAACCTCAAGACAAGAACAACCATGTCTGGGGCCGTCGCGACGGTCCCTCTGCTGAGCACTGAGCTCCAAGCGTAAAGTGGTGCAAGGAAGGGCTTAAGCCAAGTGATCATCCGAGTGACGAAGTTGAGCCGTCCCACGAACTCCACAAGCTGCCTCCCAGAAGTCATCCAGTTGTTGGATTCCACCTGATCGACCCACTCGATGATCCAGTCCGCACGCTTTGCGGAGATCCCAGCTGACCACGTGTAGTAGCTAATGTGGAATCCAATGTAGTCAACTTCAACACCACCTTTAAACTTGTGAAAGGAGAAAGGCGTCCCTACAACCTCCAACGCAAGAAACAAAACCCAAAGCGTCTCGTACTTCTCGCTTCCATACACGATGACATGGAGGTCATCAACGTAAATGAGCATGTAGAATTTGTCAAGATGCAAAATGCGAAATGCCCACCTGCCGACTGCTCCGAAGAGGCGTGCCCAATGATAAGCCGCAGAACTAATTCCGAAAGTCCCTACGCAATTTAACCATAAGACCCTTGATGGGCTGGAAGATTTGCATGACATGCGAGGCCAGTCACAACGACGTACTTTGGCTCGCCTGTGTGCCTGGCTGATGTCTGCGCAAAGCGAGAAAGGAGCCTCCTTCCCTTCCTTCACCCGCGCTGCCACTTCCTGCAAATCCTCGGGCCCTGGTACTTGAAGCTTATCATTAATGACAATCTTGTTGTTAAGGTTGATTCCGTGAGTTCCGTCGTGAAGCGGCCTCACGTCCCCGTTCGCCTTCGTCACCGCTCCCATAGCGGCAATCAAAACTGCATCTTCACCAAACTCCCTTTTGGCCTCTGCCTCAGTTGCGCAGATCATGAGGCCTGCAAGCTCGTCCTCCCGGAATTTCTTTTCAAGCTGTTCAGAGTTAAGTTCGGCAGATTTGTAGTTAACCGTAGAAGGATCAAACTCGGAAGCGTCCAACTTACGGAAGACGGTGCGCTTGGGAAACACCTGAGGAACACGGGGGAGGGGCTTATCCCATCCTAATGGAACTCCCTCGGCAAATGACTCGGGTCCCTGATCTAAGATTGCGAAGTCCGGGTCGCCGAGGATCTCAAGTGATTGAGAGAGGAGGTGGAGCGAGAAAGGCTGCCCCTTCGGAACCTGCATTGCCAGCTCACTGTCTGGAAGAAGCTTTGAAATGTCCGTGCGCACCTGGTTCACGAGCGACTGCTGAAATGGTGAATTGGGCAAACGGCCCGTCGCAAGAAGGAACGATGCTTTTCGCAAATCGGGGATACTGGAACGAACAGCTGCAGCAAGGATGTCCCGTACCGAAGCAGCATGGTTCCATTCGGCTGAGCTCGATAAGGCGTTGCGTGCGATGGGTCTCCACCTTCCTGGCGAGCACAGACCGAACCCGTCAATGAGTTCCCTCCATGAAGCTGAATGCCTACACTTGATTGCAGGGCCGCGACATCTGCTTGTAGCCGGAACAAATGCAGAACTGTCATGATCCTCCTCCTCCTCCTCGTCTTGTTGGTTGTCGTTACCAGGTGCCTGTTGGATGCTCCCTCCAACAGGGGTGCTAGAGGAGGCCTCAGGAGTGGTCCCTTCCTGAGGGGTGCTACAAGGAACGGGGCCCCCAGCAACGGCTGTTGTTGGGGGGGTGTTAGCAGCGGGATCCTCCTGGGTTAAATCCACAATGCCGCCGTCGGTGATCTCTTCCCCCCGCTGCGACAGCAGGAGCGCTGATGGCGGCAGAATGAAACCAAGCTCGCATAAGGTACTGCGGCGGCTTGCAGATAAGCTGGATGTATGCACGGAGAATCCAACCAAGAGCAACCTGTCACCTTGCCAAGGTTCCGTGCAATGGAAGGCGGTGTGGGCAGGTAATCTTTGTGGAGAAGTTGCAACATCAAGCAAAACGCCAGGTCTAGAGACACCTTTGACCAACCTAAGGACATCTCCGGACGACCGTTCGCACCAAACCGCGCCGCCTGTAAACTTCGAAAGTGCAACAAGCAGATTGTCGAATAGTGCGTTATGGCAGTCTTTATGCAATGGGGCACAATGGTTGTGGAAAACAGCTAGTGAAGAAAAGACCTCACCGGGGAATGCCTGGCGAATGAGTGCCGTAAGACATCGAAGAGTCAAAGGGTAATCACTGCAACTGCGACGGAGGCCCGTGAGGCCGCCCTTGCAATATGCTCCGCCAAAGAAAGCACGCCCTGGCGTTTCACTAGAAATCTGAGGAGTGGACGCTGCTGGGTGAGGTGCCTCGAATGGGACAAGGCGAGCAAGTGCTTCGCCATCGTGGGGTTCAAGCTGCCGTCCCTGCTTCAACAAGCAATCTGCGAAATGCTCTGCACCCTGAAAAGAAGAATCAGTGGCACGAAAGTTGCGAAGGAAGCCCTCAGAGAGAGCAGCCACATGTTCCAGAAATGCCTGCGGGAATGCCACTGATGTGGCCCACTGGTGTTGTTCTCGACCTGCACCAGCCTTATGTTGATGTGAGCACCGAGTCAGGGGCCCGACATAAAAGCCTTGATCATCAAAAGATGGCCAAGCGATGCTAGCTGGTGCACCTGACATGTTGGTTGCAATGCGTGTTGGATGTGCATTGTCTGAACCATATGATTATGATCAGCAAAGTCCTACTACAGGTCCAGAACCACCAATAATTTTTTTTATGGTTATTTTATGGTTATTTTATGATTTGGTGATTTTTCTAGTTTATGGTTTATTTATGGTTTTGATATGGTTTATTTATGCTTGAAATATGAGTTCATAAAAAACCATAAATAAATCATATTTTACAATTTATTTATGGTTTCTACTATGGAATTATTATGGTTTGGCTAAATTCCTGGTTTATGGTTTATTTATGATTTATTTATAGCTTTCGTTACACTTTTTTGTGTGTGTCTTTACCAAAGTTTTGGATTTGCACCTCTGATATACTTAATGGCTTTCATCCATTGGCACTGGACAGGAAATCAAGCAAATATACACTGATATTAGCACCACTACGGGCATCTCTCGGGGTTTCCATTTCACTTCGGATAACTCCTGAGGGCAGGGTTCTGTGAAACGTCAACGACGATGTCACTGATGGCCGCACATATTTTTTCTTGTGACCCTGCTTCTGCTGCAGGCGGAGCTCTTGTGTCTGATCAGCCACGATCAGATTCAGGTATGCTTTGATTCTTGTCGTTAGTCGCAGGCCTTTGATCTTCAACGTCAAACGGTCGAAAGGATTGTATCTTGTCGAAATGCCAAGCTTGCGCCGCCATTCAGCAATCTGCACTCTCCACGGTTTGTCGTCCACTTCGTCCAGCTTCACAGCAGCAGATGGCTTTCGAGCCTGCGCCATTTTGGTTTCTAATTTCAAAGTCCAAGCCCAGGCAGGCACGAGATAACCTTGTATCGTGGACTGGCTGGGTTGAAGGCTCCACTCAGGCTAGGGGCTGGGCTGGGTTGGGTGGAGGGGTCGGTCTTGGAGCCTGGGCCGGGCCTGGTGGGGGCCGGTTGGGAGGGCTGGGAGGGTACCCAGGGTCAGAGGGTGTAGGGGTCATAAAAAATCATAAATTTTCCATAAATAAATCATAAATTTTCCATAAAAAAATCATAAATTTTCCATAAATTTTCCATAGTAAAATCATAGTGAAACCATAAATTTTCTATAAATTACAGTAGGAAACCACGAAAACAGTGTAAAAAAACAATGGCCGGAACCTACCCTCCCCCATCCCCTTGACCCCCCTCCTGCTCCCCTCAGTTTCCCCTCCCCTCCCTCCCCCCTCCCCTCCCTCCCCCCTCCTTTCCAAACGCCAGTCCCCAGCCCAGAACCAGCCCAGTTACCTCTGCAGGCCCAGCCCATCCACGGCCCAGCTGCGAGTCTAGCTGAGGCTTGTCTCAAGTCTGAAGAGTTGCCTGGAGCCTCGAGTTTTGGGTAGGAGTCAATTCAGCTGCAATCCACAATGAAGTGCTTGAAACCTCCGAAACTCCAAGTTCTGACATGTGCTATTGTCTATGCATATGCTGTAGCCTGACCATTGCTGCATGCATTGACAACTTGACACCATCTGCAAAATGTATTCATGAGAAATCTGTCGGTGTAACCCAGTACACCGATCGAAAATGGGCACGGCTTGGACCAAAAACCGTCATGGTAGAAACGCTTGGCCGATGCAAAGCACACCTGACTAGCAGCGATTAGCAGCCATCGGCACGTGTCTCAGACGGAGGCAAACAATCGGAATGTTGCGACGAGGATGTCTTTCGTGTTCCCAATAGACACGCCACTTCTGAAACCAGTCGAGTTTCCCGACAAGAGACATAAACAAACCATACATGTGTAGCACGCATGTGAGTAATGGCAATACACCATAAGAGTTTGTTGGTAATCACTCATTAAATCAATATAAATTCAATATAAAAAATCCATAAAATTTCCATAAATGCCAAAAAACAACATTCATAGTAAAATCATAAATAAATCATAAAATAAAATTATTGGCCCTGTTTTCCCCTTCTTGTTTTGAGGTTTGAGCCGAACGCTAAACCTTCTACTAAAATCGTTCCTTCAAACTTGGATGAATATATGCACGTCAGAGTCATAAGTATAAAGGAAATATAAATTCAATCCTTCAAGCACTCGGACGAAGACTCTTTTTCTCGGATGGTGGTGAATGTCCCCTCGTCGGAGGGAAGGCAGGCACATCTGGTGTGCGTAGCCTCGCCCCCTCTCCCTGAGTCACCAGGGTGTGCCTTCGCGCTTCCTCTTCGGGACATGAGGCAGAAAATTACTTGCAGACTGCAGCGCCTTACGAGACGCATCGAAGTCGGACTTCGACAACCACAACTGATTCAAGAGCTCAAGTGGTAGCTCGCTGAAACTGACATCCAAACGGTGTTCGGAACTGAAAGAGCTGAAATCCTGATTTGTCAGAGCATCTGCCAACTTATTTTCGTCACGTGGTTTCCAAGTCAAGCTGAGCCTCAGACAAGCCTTTCTTAGGAGATGTGAGAGCTGCATGTTGATGAGCATGAGCGGCCACTTGGTAGTGGACTGTTTCTTAAGAAGCTTCTCGTTACTCTGATTGTCAGTGGCCCCGGCAATGGCGACGGGGAGTCGCCTCTGCGAACTACTCTCTTTAAGGTGTCCGAAGAACCACAAAGCAGCTAATGTTGCTAAAAGTTCGGCTGATGCTGACGCCCATTGTGATTTTCCCGCTGAGTCGAAAAGGTACGGAGCATCCGCAGGCTTCACCACTATGGAGAACCAAGACGCGACCGAAAGGTCCTGGCTAGAGTCCCAACCTCCTAGGACAACATAACCATCATCGCATTTCGCGTCCGTGTGAAAGAGATGCCCTTTCTCTTCCTGTTGTTGGCCCGGTGTGACCTTGAAGTTGATGTCTTTAAGCGTTGCCTCCAAGTAGAGCAAAGTCAGAATAACCGTGTCCGGCATTTTTGCAACATGGCTCTTCGAAGCCGCAGCTGACCAAGCATACAAGGGGGCCAAATGTGGTTTGATCCAGTACACAACCCTAGACACGAACCCAAGTCTCCCGAGAAACTCTGCAAACTTCCTGACAGAGACGACGAAGCGCGCCTTCCGTGCCTCATCGACCCAGTTGCACACCCAGGCACCTCGGGCTTCGCTAAGTCCCACCAGTCTGGCGCCATAGTCAAGCTCGTATCCTATGAAAGCGACAAGCGTTTTCCCCTTAAACTTATGGTAAGCGAAGGGCACCCCTATCATTTCTTGAAGGATCAGCCAAACCAAGAAGTTGATGTACATCCGCTTCCCGTAGAAAGTGGGATGCACATCATCCACATAAGCGAAGTGGTAAAAGGCGTGCTGCAGTAGGCAACGGGTGACCACTCTGCCTATGATTCCATACAACCTGCTCCACCAAAAGGAAGCTGGGCTAAGCCCAAACGTTCCTACCTTATTGATCCAAATCGTGTCAGACCCTTGCTCTGCCCTGCATGACATCAAGGCCCAGTCACTCTTCCGATGCAAGACCAACCTGTGTGCAGCACTCACGTCCGCGGTTGCGGCCAAGGGAGTCTCTTGCATAGCACCTGATTGCCGAACTGAAAATGACATTTCTGCCGGACCTGGAACCGCTAACTGATTCACCAAGCGTATCTGGTTGTTGACATTGACACCGTGCGTTCCATCATGTAATGGCCGCACACTGCCATCGGGTTTGAGGATTGCCCCCATTGAGGCCACGCGGATCATGTCATCACTGTACTCCTCGCGCAAGGCTCCGAGCGTTGTCGGTTTCATCCGTCCAAGTTTTTCCTCTGCACGAAACTTTTCGAGGAGCCCGGCGGAGCTCAACTCGGCACTCTTATAATTTTCCCGGTCAAAATCCAACTCTGACTCATCAAGTTTACGCCACTGGCACTTCCTTTCATACACCTGCGGCAAGTGTGGTATGTCGCAATTAAGACCTAAGGGGACCCCGGTACAGAAACAGTCAACTCCCTCCGTTAAAATCTCCCAGTCTGGATCCTCGAGTCTTTCGGCCGAAAGTGACAAGGCCCTGAGCAAGAAGGGCTGCGCATCCGGGATCTCAAGCACGTCGGGACTGTCTTCTGCACCCAGCACCTTGGCCCACTGTTTACGCAGGGCTTCCAACTTCTCCCCAGCGAATGGAGAGGATTCGATCTTTCCTGAAAGTAGGCTCAAGCAGAAGCGCCGGGGATCAGGTACATGCTCGGCGATGAAGCTCGTAAGCATCCGGTACATGGATTGTGCATGTGCAGTAGCCGCTGGGCCAAGGCGATGCCCCCGATCCATCGGCCTCCATCGCGAGGGAGAACACAACCCGAACCCATCTGTCATGTCAGCCTCCTGACCTTCCCACTCAACGCGAATGGGGTTGCCTCGGTTCCCGCACGCCTCTGGTCTGAACGGCACGGGTGGTGCTGTGTCTTGTGTGCTTGGGCCCTCGGCGGTACCCAGAGCTTCGGAAGTCTCCCCATTCGATGCGTCCAAGTCAAGTGGTAACTCAAAGCCCAATGCCTTAAGGTGAACTAAGTCGGAAGCCTCAACATTGCCAAGCTTGTCGGTCATGTATGCTACCATCACCACCCGACGGCCCTTCCACGCCCGCGTAGCGTGGTACGACCGCCAGGCATCGAAGCTTACAGGACCCTTACAAACCTCCAAGAGGACACCCGGTCTCTGCCCTTCTGGCGTTGTCTCCCAAACGTCGCCTCCTTGCTGTTCCAGCCAGATCTGGCCACCTTCAAAGTCGGATAACGGCACTACCATGTTCGGATAGTGTGCATTCCGAGCATCACGGTGGACACCCGTCCTGACATCATCGAAGATCGCGATAGCGGATGCTTGAAAGCCAGGTGCAACCTGCTGCAAGTACTTCGTTAGAACCCGCGTCGACATAGGCATCGCAGTTGAATGATGCCTCAAACCGACTAAGCCACCCTTACAGTAAGCGCCCCCGTAGCGAAAGCCCTGCCCGGTGCAGGTGAAGTCGATTCCCTGGGCGGCTCCTCGCGGGGAAGCATGTCAAATAACTCTAACACACGGCGACGTTCTAGCGGACCGGGAGCCGCCAGCAGTTGTGATGCGGCACTCTCGGGATCGCAGGCGGACTTCAAAGGAAGCGAAGAGGAACTGAAACCCGAACGGGAAGGGTGAACCGCCGTGGCCTTAGGGGACCTACAACCTGACTGGGAAGAAGGAGCAGCTGCGGCAGAAGGGGCAGCTGCGGCACTGCAACCTGAAGGCGAGGATGGGTCAGAACCTGAAACGACGGGCACGGGAGGAACCTTAGCGTGCCCACCCAGCACATCGGGGACCTTAATTGCCTTGTCAGGAACCTTCGACTTAGAGGATTTGCATTCCCCATCTGCTTGCAGCGAGAAGTCGATGGCTGCTACTATGAATTGACACAACTGAGGGGGCCAGCCGCGGGCCCGCGGCAAGTTCCACTGTTGCGTAGTCGGTGATTTGCCGGTGCTAATCGCGTGACCCCCATGTGGGCACGACGCGGGCAGCGGCCCAACGTAGCGGTGATCCGCATCCAGCACCGGCAACCCTGTCAAGGGCCTTGGGGAGTGACGGAAGAAAGGCAAATTGCTCAAGTAACGTGTTGGTTTGGCCCAGTCCGCCCCGAACTCGCATAAGTAATGCACAAAGGTAGTGGCCGCAAAACGCGGAATGCAGTCAAGTAATTCAGGCCAAACCCAAATGGAGCTCGGCACAATGCCATCGGCGGTGCGGCCGAAGTGTTCCGGCGCTTCCCACATGAAGAAATTGCCAGCCTCGGCCGCGAAAACTGTTGCTTTCAAACACTGGTCGATAAAATGATTGGCAGAAGTCACCTTCTGCATAGACGAATCCTTAAGCCATGGAAAACCTCTGGGCCACTTGTCACTGCGGAGTGGCGGGGGCCCAGGTTGCTTATGCCTCGCCCGACTAAAAGTATCATAAGGAGGCGAAATCAAGATCACGGATTTCGGTTGTTTCACAAGCTCAAACAACTGATCCCAAGCATCACCACAAAACAGGTTGTTTGCATCAAATCCAAAAGCGACGAATTCTGGCTGCGACATGCTATTGCTGAGATGCGGTGCCCAATCAAAGCGCTCAGCAGGATCTGCAAAGACATGAACCACCCTTGATGCCACAGGTTGGCCTGACAGCAACGGCAGATGGTGCCCATGCGCCCCCTGCTGAGCGCAACTCTGTCACTTACCCGCTGTCGCGGCTTCGTGCTGCGAGGCCGGGTGCTCGCCGAAACACCCTGCAACACGACACGCATGCACACGTGCGCACTTCGGATCAGTACAGCCCTGGTGGTTGTATGCATAACACAACTGACGGCCGTCTGGAGTCGCTGACACAAGTGCAAGCTGTTTCCCATTTGACAAGACAACCTGGCCCTTGCCTTTCTTGCCTTTGCCTTTCCCTGCTCCACGACCGTTCTGATGCGGCGCTGGCGGCGGTGGAATCTCTTGCCCTTGCTGCTTATCCTTTCCTTTGCTGTTGCCCTTCCGAAACTTGGTAGGCGTACCAGCTGTGTGCAATGCCAGAGGTGTTGTAAAGTAAGCCTCTTTCAGCGATGGATCCTCACGCACTGCCCGAAGTGCCTCTGCCATGGTGGCGGTTCCCTCCAGGATCATCTTGAAAGCTTCAACCCTCAACTTATATTCATAACTCAAGACGATATTCCATGGAGGCCTGTTGAACTGCGTCTCTTGCCCTGAAGCAGTGGGCAACTTCAAGTTGCCAACACGATCCCCCAAGATGTACTCAACAAACTTAGTGAAATCATCAAGCCGAAGCCCTTGCAACCAAGCCTTTGCCTTAAACCGTGCACTCATGCAGAGCCATGCATGTGCCTCGACCTTCATCAAGCGTCTATAGCCCTCTGAGTGATGTGGCATTTCCAACTTCTGCATCGTCTTTGTCACCCGAACATGCCCGGTGGGATCAATGCTAGTCTGGAGGCTCTCCACCTGCGAATCCTTCTTTGAAGAGATGCGATCAAGCGAACTTGCGAGAGGCTCATTGCTCTCGCACTCCTCGGCCTTTGTTGCCAAGTACTCTGCACTTGGCGTCTCGCTTTCATTCATCTTCCCGTATGCATCCGTCACTGCCTTCAGCATAGCTTGGCGTTCCTGCACTTGCAAGATTCTCTTATGGCCTAGAACTTTCGCCTCTGCACGTAGCTCGATTTCTTTACTGGCATACTCCTTGGCAAGTTCCCACGCAGCCACTATAGCTGCCACCTCAACACGGCCCGCCGGTGTATCAGGATTAATCCCGAAATCACGTGCAGCTGTCCGGGCACCTTCGCGGTTATCGGCGATCGCCTGGAATCGCCTTCGACTCTGATGGAGCCGCGCAACCTGATATTGCGTGGCCAGTGACGCGCTGGCTTCCTGAAGCACATACTGCAAGTCGGAATCCATCTTTGCCACTTCTGCTCTTTGATCCGCCTCACTAGGCAACGCCATGCTATCTGAAACAGCACCGTGCTGTGCAACTGAAACCGCACTCTCAGCGGTAGCCCATGGCAACTGAAAATCACACAGCTCCTAACTCCGTAATTGTAGAATTGCATGCACTCGCGACTGACACTGAAAATCGTGGATCACTCACAATCACGTACATGCCGACGGTCCTGCGAAGCTGCCTTAGCCAAACTCCCTCAAGCGAGCACCTACCCATGCAAACAGCCATGTACATGCCGCACCTCGAACACAGCACACTCCTACCGCAACACACAATTTGTCGCCAAGCTTCGAACGTACTCTCACCCCTCTTCGCTGCTCGAGTCACTTGTGGACCCGCTCTCGCTACTTGTGTCCTGATCGTCCTCGGCACCTTGATCTTCCCTCATACGATGCTTGCAATCACGACAAATGCTGTCGATCTGATCCAATGCGACACGCTCGACAAACTCGACCCTATTGCAATGATGTGGCTTAACATGGCACGGCCCATTCAAGTGCAGCCTGCGATGGCCCGTCTTACGACTGATGCTAATGAAGTACTTTGTGGCACTACCCTCAACGTTCATCGCTTCCGGTGCCTCCTCCTCTTCGCTGGCATCTGCATCGTCCTGTTCAATGGCAGGCCACTTGCTGCCCAAGCAGCGTACGCCTTCCACAGTCCTAAGTAGATCATGCCGCCGCCTTGCCAATGCACCTGAACCTCCACGTTCGTCCACAAAGGCTTTTAGCTCTTCGAGAGCTTCACTCTCTTGATACTCGCCACCCTTGCCGGTGACAATTGCTTCGCAGACTCCAATCTGTATGCGATGCACAACCTCCCTTGCAGTGCGCGTGTAGTCGGCAGAACCCGAACCACCGATCATCCAACGACCCAAGAAATCCCTCTGATCCTTAGACCATCCCAACACCGCGGCTGCTGAAGTGAGCCAATTGCGTGGGCTATGCCCCGTGAAGAAGCCTTGGGCCCCTTCCACCAAGAGGTACCTCTGCAAGTTGAGGCGATAGGCCCCATCCTCAAACTTCGGCGTTGCTAGCCTCTTGAAGACCTCACGCACATAGCCTGCAACTACCTCGCTCTTAGCAAAGTGCTTAGTTGGCCCTTTCCAATCGTCTCTGGCAATCATGACAAGGAAGTCTCTCGGCTGAGTATACTTCTTCCAAAGCGAAAACTAAAACTGAGCCTAAACATATCGGAAAGACGGATTCTCACTGAGAACTGAAAGGATCTGAGACAAACTGAGAGACAGTGAGCTGAAAACGGAAACTAGGAAAAGCTCAAAACTGAAAATATCTTTTCCCGCCCGGCCGCCCAAAATTCGAAGGTTTCAACAGTTCAACTGGGCAAGCCCAGTAAAGCTGGGTGGGGGCTGTAGTAGGGTTTGCTGATCATAACCATATGAGCACAAGTGCACTGCCCAAGTGGAGCAGGTAGCTGACGCAGCACAGCAAGCTCTGACCTCAGCCCATTGCCATAAACTCGCGGGGTCGCCGCCGCAACGAAGCTTCCCTAGGTCCTCTGGGTGGATCAGAATCCATCCTGTGTTATGTTGATTGCACAACGTTGCTGCGCTGATGCACTGTTTGCAAATGTAGTTCTCAAGATCAACGTCAAGGCGGAACCTATCAGCTAACCAAGGAAACCCAAAAGGAAAAGAAGACGATCGCACAGGTACCGGCCCTGAGCGCTGTGAATTCAGCCGATGCCTTGCACGACTGAAGGTACTGCATGGTGGAAACATGAAAATGGCATCCCAGGATCCCAAGCGAATCCCAGTGAAGACGTCATCCCAGGAAGCGGCCTTAGACCAAGTCCCGAAATGAGATCCGTCCTGATTCAAGAAGTCGGCCTCCAGCTGGCTTCCCAAGCGCATTGATAAATTCTTTAGGCAGCCGTGTATGTCACTGTCGATGCCCATGTCAAGTGAAACAACCAAGACCTTTAGTCAGTTTTTCTGCTCGTCGGTCTTCTTACCGGAAGCGTGATGCTGCTGCCAGTGCTGCCAAGTGGGATGGGGCCCATGACATCCTTTGACCATGCAGCAATGTACCATGCCGCAATTGCCATCACACCCTGGTCCAGAGTAATCGAAGCAAATCCACCGGCCGTCTGGTGTCCGAGTCGTTGTTGAGCTCTCTCGCTTGCCTTTTCCGTCCTTGCCTTTCTTTCCATTTTCCTTGCCCTTCTTCCCTTTGTTGTTCTTGTCCCCGGTCTTCCCGAAGTTTTGATTCTTCCCCTGCCATGTGTCCTTGAACCACTTGGATTCGCTTCCAGTCTCCCAAGGATCACCTGCGCGCTTTCCTCTGCTCTGCAACGCAATGGGCGATGTGAAGAACTGCTCCTTAAGCTGCGAGTCCTCTGTGACCTCTTTCAAGCAATCGCGGAGGGGCCTGGAATCACGAAATGCACGTTTCACCGCCTCCTTCCTGAGTTCGTACTCATAGTTGAGAAGGACCACCCAAGGTGGTCGCAAAGGTGTTTGATCCATCTTTCCATTCCCCTTTCCATTGTTCACTGGGACTTGCATAAGATAGACCTTCTCGCCGAGGAGGTAGTTGACAAAGCTCGACCAAGCATCTGGCCCCATGTTCTGAAAGAAGACCTTGTTCTTGTACTTTGATGCCAGGAATGTCCACATGTTCCCCTCCACTCGGAGGACCGTCCTCAACTCTTCAGTGTGCGTTGGCATGACCCCTTTGTTCCGTTGCTTTACGATACGAACATGCCCACCTGAGTCCACTGTTGTCTGGATCCCCATGGTGCGAACACGCTTCTTCGAAGTCACCTCCGAAAGAGCGCTGGCGGTGAGTTCCCCGTTCTCGACCTCTTCAAGCTTCGCTGAAATGTAATCATCTGAGGGCTCGAAGGCTTCTTCCAGCTGTCCATGGGCAGCCTCGAACGCCAATCTCATTGCCTGCTTTTCAGTTTGTGTCACTGGACGACTAACGCCAAGCATCCGAGCTTCCGCACGGAGCTCTGACTCCTTCGAAGCGAACTCCTTCGCCGTCTCCCAGGCCGATACCACCGCTGCGATGGTGGCGCGAGTGCCTTGGTTGGTGGCCTCCAATGTATGATCATCCTTCAAGGCAGTGCGAACTTCAGCGCGGGAATCAGCGTAAGTCGAAAACCTCTTCACTGACCTGAAATTCTGTGCTAGCTTGTATTGCAAGCCGAGAGGTACCCCACATTCTTGAAAAATGTGCACGAGGTCGGCAGTCACCTCCTTGTCTAGAAAATCCAGCGCAACTTGCTCCGTGACCCCTGCCGGTAAATCCGCAGCCATTGCAGCCCGTCCTACTAGAAGCGAAGAGAGCTCCCCCTTAGAGCCAGCACCTCCTTGCCATGCCCGAAGCGTAGCACATCACAAAAGAACACGGTTGCACTCCAGCCGGCACTAAGCAGGGCAATTCGGATCAAGCTCCCAGGCACATTCCTTCCGTGCCGCTGTCACAGGTTGTCTATTAAGAACGATGCCCTCCTCCTGGCAAAGTTCGAAATTTCACGATGCGTTCCATCCAGCATCGATCCACTTATGGTGTACGTACTCTGATGCTCTCCTTCCGGCATCACAACTTTCTCATGTGCCACTCACAGATCTCAGACAAGGGGGATCTTTTGTGCACTTCAAGCTCAGCAGCTGTTTGATGTCAGAGCTCCTATCCAAAGCCCGTGGGCGCCTCCGGCCCTCCCTCCGAGGCCGTATCATCAGACCCACTGCTAGAGGACGCCTCTGCAAGACTCTCTCTAGGCTTGCAAATTTTGCACATGGCATCGGCTATCCCTTCAGCCAACGCATAAACGGGGATCGTCTCCAAGCAGCGTTCACGCCGAACTGCACACGACTTGGAGACATGAAGCCTGCGATATCCCCTCCTCGAAACAGTGATAAAGTACGGGGCTTCATCCTGGTCGTCTCCTTCTTCGAAGTCCCTGTAAGGTCCGGGCGGTGATGCATTGATGTTCCCGGCTGAAGCACGAATGAGCTCAGGCCCCACACTGAAGCAGGGAAAAACACCTCCTAGCTTCCACGTCCGCCCAGCATCATCCCATTGGAGCATGGTGTTCGCTCCAATCACCGCATCTGCATCTAAACCCAAGCTCACAGCGAAGGCCCTGACAGCAACGAAGTGCTCCTCTTCCATGTATCCACCTGAATCGCTGCCGATGATCAAGCCTTTGCAAACATGATTCTGTACTCCTTGCACCACCTGCCGGGAAGTCAGCACATAATCCTGAGATCCGTGCTGGGCGTAAGCCCACCGTCCAAGGAAGTCCCTTTTGAACTTGTCAATCCCTAGCCCAGCTGCAATGCTTGGAAGTGTGTGCCTCGCACTATGTCCTGTCCAGAAGTTGCACAAACCCCCAGGCAGCAACGGCACACGCGAGACCTCCCAAACTCCTCCTTGCCGAACTGGTGTGGGAAGTTCTTGAAGAAGTCGCCTGAGCTGCAAAGACAAGCCCTCTGCATCCAAGTAATCCTTAGAGACGTTCTCCCAGTCACTCGAAAACGCCGGGGAGAGGAAATCACGTGTCCAAGAAAGCTCTGCAAGTGTATGTAGTTTGAAGCCTTCGTTGAGCCAGTCAAATCCACTCAATCCTACCACCCGGGAGACAAATCCATGTAGCTCGCCAACCTTTCGCCCTGGCCCACTTGTCTTAGTGCGCCGCAGCAATAGCCGGAGGCCGATCTGGCTCAGCTTGACCGACGCAGGGTCGATGTTCTGCGTATCATCTGCCCTCAAGCTTGCCCAAATCATGACAAGGAGCACTTATTTTCCAACGAAACTTCCGTTAGCGCGCGTTTGGGAAACCCTAACTGCGCTGCAGAGGAACCCTGTGCAAAACACTCTCTTTTTTTTCTCCTAGCGGACATGGGGGGTCAGTTCGGGCCCGATCTTCGGGCACTGACGAAACGATGCCACTGGCATCTCGATTCAAAACTCGACCGCTGGTCGATGGTAAGGCGAACGACTGGTTCACCCCCCCCTACCAGGGAAAAACCCGTACCACGGGAAGATAAGGTGAAACATTCTCTGACCTACTGGGTCACTGCAGCTACAAGTTGCTACTCTGTAGTCTGACGGCCTACGGCCTATGTACAAGAGCGCACTCTGTGCTTACGCCTCTCTGCGAGAGAGAACATAGGAGCGCTGCTCCGGGCAGCTCTGCTGCCGAAGCGGTGTCCCGGACCCCGCATACTATACAGGGTGTGGTGGGTGGGACAAAAACTTTTTGGATCACAGATCCAACTCCAAGCCGAAAGCTGCACGGCAAAGTATGTCTAGTGTCACTCACACACAAGTGAAAACACTGTTTTCCTTTTTCGACAAACTTTGTCTACACTTTCGGCGGAAAATAAAACCCATTCACGCACGCATGATGGATGCTTATTTTCCAACGAAACTTCCGTTAGCGCGCGTTTGGGAAACCCTAACTGCGCTGCAGAGGAACCCTGTGCAAAACACTCTCTTTTTTTCTCCTAGCGGACATGGGGGGTCAGTTCGGGCCCGATCTTCGGGCACTGGCGAAACGATGCCACTGGCATCTCGATTCAAAACTCGACCGCTGGTCGATGGTAAGGCGAACGACTGGTTCACCCCCCTTGAAGGCACTCGAAGCCTTACTCACCCCCCATCTAGTCCGCGCCGAGTGACAAAGCCAACGGCACTGCGTTGGGAGGCAGGTATTGGCGCGCTGCGCCTAGCCTCTCGGTCTCTTCCCACCAGTCTCTGCTGGGGCCATCAGCGATGTTGCTGTCTGTCGGAACTCGGAAGAAAGCAGCCCTGCACTGCAGAGACTCTTCAAAGCCCACCGCTTGCGAGACTATCGCTGCACCTTCTACCTTGCGTGTGAAGGCCTTGTGTAAGGAGGTACGCGCTGCGTCGTTGTCTATCCAGACGAACAGGTCACTGCCTGCTATATGCTTGGCCCCCAGTTGAAGGCTAAGCAAATAGGGCAACAGCTCGCACTCGTAGACCAGCTGCTGCTTCTGTGCTCTGGCAGCCCTCTGGGCTGCAACCTGGCTGCTGATCTGAAGCCCCCAGGTGAAGGCGATGCCTTCTCCAATGAGCACTGCTCCGAGGCCACACTTGGGCACCAGTCGCGGGGTCTCCCACTCGCAGGCCC